TAATAACTAGAATAAGAGCACATAATGTTTTCAAAACTCGATATTATGGTTGGTAGAGGCCGATCTTTGATTGGGCGAGCAGGGGTGCTCACAAAGTGACCTTCCCCAATCGTACCCAAGTTCTCGAGCCGAGGCAACTTTGGTGATGACGGACACGTGGCCTTCGGCACGAGTCAGGGTTTCCTAAATTTCTCCAAAATAAAATATTTAGGTGGCGACTCTGTATCTGGCAAAGCAGCAATGTTTGGCACTTCTTTCTAAAAATCTGTTTTCCAAAACGATTTGCCAGATTTGGACTCTTTGATGATTCATCGGTCTTGCATTGCACTCTGCGAGATTAGATACAGGACCGTGACATTTGAGTCCTGAACTGTAGTGAGCCCAAATGAACAAAACGGGGGGATTTCCCCTGGGACGTTCGGGGACGTCTACACAAGACATAGTCATCGGCATCGAGTACCTCTTTGTCTTCGATGCTTTGCTCTATTGGCTTTGTATCTTGCTTTGAACCTCTAGTGATCTTCACAACTTTGGGATATTGAAAGTCTCGATCTTAATTTCCTTTCCTTTCTTTTGCCTTTAAATTCTTTATCATTGATGTAGGATCTTTTTTCACTGTAGACAGTGAAAATATCAATAAAAGTTAAATTTTTCTGAAGTAACTGATCATATTTCAATATGTAAATTTTTCAATTACCATAGACTTTAGTCTGTTGTTTTGGTTGTTGTTTGTTTACCACTTTTTCTTGTGGAGTTATTGGTTGTTGTACCACTTCCATTCCAACTATACACAGTGAAAATCAAACAAGCCCCAAAAATCAATGTGGTCAAAGAAGTTACAAAATCTAGAGAAAATTACACACATATGGAAGCAAATAGACAAAGAAAATCAAATAAGAAACAGAAATCAAACTGGCCAAACAAATGAGGTTAGAAAAATTTAAATTCTAGAGAAAATTACCATCGACAGAGAAAATTTTAGTAAATAGAAACTTCTCTGAGCTATGTTGACACAAGAACATAACTTTTTGTGGTTCAAGATTTTCACTGACCTTGGGGTTGAACTTGTGTTAGTGTTCGGTAAGGATGTGTTACTAGTTGGACGAATAGTTCTTGAATTTGTTCATGCAATCTAGCATTTTCAATTTCAAGCTCTAAAATTGAATGCCTCAGCTGTTGAATTGTTTTTTTTATCATCTTCTTTTTGAACCTTCAGCATCCTTAGTTTCAGTTGGTATGTGCTGTCCCTTTTCTTGAAGTTTTGAATTATTTGATGTCAATGTTCTTATTGCAATGTCCTTTTCTTCAAGTAATTGATTTCAATTTTTCTCTTTTTCTATTTTGGATTTGGAAAGTGCCTTTAGTCTTTCTTGTAGAATAACAATTTGAGCATCTTTTAATTCCCTAGATTCTTGAGGCTGTTGCATTGTTGAGCCACAAATACTATCATGATGTTGGTTCATCTTCTCATTTTTTTATTCTTCATCCATTTCCTCACTGTTCTCTTTTTCCTCTTTAGATTCAGTGCCTTCATCTTCTTCTTCGTTGTCTTCTTGTTCTTTATTCTTCTTTGTGTTCTACTTCTTCATTTTCTTCTTTGGCTTCCTCTTCTGCACTCCTTCCTTGATCTTCTTCTCCATTGCTTGCTTCTTGTTCTTCTTTGTTGCCGTCTCTTTCTTCATTCCCTCATTCTTCTTCAAATGAATCTTTTAATATCTACTTGAATATGGCCAATGCCTTTTTTGCTTCTTTCTTTTTGTTTTTACCAAGACAAAACTCTTTTGATGGGCTTTTAACTTTTTCCTCGTTATCTATCTGCAACAAGAGGGTCTTTTATTAAAGAAATATTAAAATTTCACTGAGAGAAAAATTCAAACAAGATCAACCAAATGCCAGATAAAATTCATCTAAATCAAACTAATGGAAAAGAAATTTCAGAGAAAATTTTATGGGCTAGAGAAAAATTACACACAATGAGACATAATTTTATGGGGTCAAAGAAAATTATGAAACAAGTAAAATAATTGATGGTTAGGAAAAATTCAAATATCAGAGAAAATCAATCAAGCCATATAAGTTAATGTTATTATAGCAATTTCGGTTTTGACCCGTCACTTGTTGTATTCTAGACTCGGGTTTGTATGGTCTTGAATGGTGATTCATATCTTATTTCCCTTGTCTCCCGTCTATTTTGGTTATTGGATTGTAGTTGTGCGTTTGGAACAGGTTGGTTGCTTGTTTTTCCAAACCTTTGCTGCCCAGATTTTTGCTCCTCCGCTCAAGCGGTCATTCTTGCGCTCGAGCGGGCTTTGCAATCTTTGCCACTCCGCTTAAGTGGGCTTTGCAAACTCTCAGTACTTTGCAGTTCTGCAAAACTACTGGGAGAGTGTTTTCTACACTCGAGCGGCGTTTCCTACGCTCAAGCGAGTGGGCACTCGAGCAGCTTTTCCTGCGTTCGAGTTTTGGTTTGTTGTTTACAAAACTTCTGGATGTGTGTTTTCTACGCTTGAGCGGCGAATTCTTGTGCTCGAACGGTGAGTGTTCGTTGTGTCGTGGTGCTTGAACGGAACCAGTTATTGTGTCTGACGCTCGAGCATCAAATCTCCCGCTCAAGCGGACTGTGCGTATATCAGATCGCGAAAATGACATTTTATATCACTTTTTCATTCTTCTCTCTCTCTAAAACTCTCTAAAAACCTAGATCTTGACCCTCTCTCTCTAAAACACTCTCTCTCTCTACATTTTGACCTAGATCCTTTGGGCTCTCTACCCTAGTGCCTATGAGAAAAAGGTAGAGCATCTCTAGATCTTCGTTTGGACCTGAACAAAGTTAGATTTGGGCATCCTTGGAGTTTCACCTTTGCTTTGCTTGGTCACCTAACTTGAGGTAGGGATTTTCTACACTTTAATATTGGTTTTAACTTAGTTATTTGTCATTGTGTAAAAATGGTGGAATGTGGAAGTAATGTGAATAAACCTAGGGTTTGGGTGTAAAATGGAAAGAGGGGTTTTGGTGAATGAGAGGTAAATGATTGTGGGGTTTGAAAAATGATATTGTATGGTGTCAAAATTATTGATTTTGGAACTAGGTTGAACTTGGGAAGAGAGGGAGTTTTCCCTAAAATGATTATGATATTTATTTTGTATAAATAAATGAAATTGGTGTTATAAACATGAAATTGGACGAGTATTGAAGTACATGGTGGAATTAAGTAAATGGTACGTCTCATCTTTGGAATTTTTGAATAAATTATATATCTTGAGATTGTATATCTGTTTAGAAATAACTGTATTAAGCTATCAGTAGAGGATAGCTATGATTATTGTAGAAATTACATGAGGATTAGATGAATTAAAACTAATCCATGGTTGATTATTATTGAATATGATCATGTTGTAAGTACATTGTATATGTATGATTGTCTGGAAAGAGAAATGAGATGTACTCCATGAATGATTATGTGTTTAAATACATTGCATATGTATGATTGTTTGGGAGGAGAAAATGGATGTACTCCATTGTTTGGGAAGAGAAAGGGGATGGACTCCATTATAATTAAGTTGGCCGGAGTGTCCTGGGTGAAAATCCCGATATTTATACATGGGTACCGATCCCGTAGACGAAATTTCTGACAAATTGAAGTGTTTGTGTGTTAATGATGTGATTGTAGAACCATTGAGTTGTAGTCTCATTTGGATTATTGAGAAATAATGAAATTGGCTCATGTATTGAAATGAATTGAATGAAAATGGATTAAGATTTGGATTTGGTACCTTATGACTATCTAAAATGTGAATGTTTTGTCGCATGCATTATTTATGCATATTGTACTTATACCTTTGTTAAATCTTATATATTGTGGTAAATTATTCCTACTGGGCTGTGGCTCACCCTATTTGGGAACAACATTTTCAGGTAATGATGGCGTACCTCTACCAAGGCAATAGCATTGGAGGGACTTTTGTAAAGCAAGAGCTTCTTTGTCTTGTATGACTTTTTGTATAGCCTAGGGCTTAAATTGTATAAGCTAGTCTCACTTTTGTTGTAACCAAGCCAAGACTTCGAAAGGTGTAAGCCTATAGGGCATTTACTTATGCCAAACTCTTTTGTATTATTAACATTATGAAACGAAAGGACTTTACATTCTGATTCATACAATTATTTATATATATTTGGGTTGAACTTATGGTTATATTTTTTGGGGCATTACAGTTACTATATTTGAGGTCAAAGAAATTTGGATTCCAGAGAAAATTCATTACAAGGGCAGACATAAACTAGTGTTAATCAAACAAGCAACATAAATTAAAATTTCAAAAAAAATTGATCTCAATCAATCAAGGCACATAAGTTATTCCAAATAAGGTGTTGCATTGTAGAGAAAATTGTAAATAAATTTTGATTAACACTGGTTTATAAGTAATTCCATATAAATTGATGACAATGAGGGAAACAAGCTAGTGGTCAGAGAAATTTTGGAATTTCACTGAGACTTGAGTGCCTATAGAAATCTAACCTGTTGAGGTGCAAGATACTGGATTGGTATCTTCTGCAATTGTTTGGTCAAGCTTTACAGGTTCCATTTGGCACATCTTGGGAATTCGGTTGTGTTACTGTCTTCCCAGTCAATGATAGTTACATGTTCGCATAGCCAATATTGTGATGGAAATTGAAGTATTTAAATTTTACTAAACACACAAATTTGTAATTATCATAATTGTAAATGTAAATGGAAATTCTACTTACCAGCAATGCAATGACACATCCCATAAATTTCTCTGGAGTTTTGTTCAATGTTGTTATAGAATCCATCAATGTTGTAGTTATTGCTTATGGCGAATCATACTTCTTCATTGATTTAAGCAGTTCAACGTACTTGATAAAACCCACCATCCCATTTGCTGTACAAAAATAGGGTGAAACACAAGTATAAGGCAACAATGATCGCTACATCTTTGAAGTCATTTGGTTGCTTCATTTTCATTGCTTTGACCAATGCCTTCTTTAGAACAGGTCCAGTGAGCCTCGTTTCCTTTGGGAATCTTCGCTTTAGGAATGGCATGTTTGGGTTCTTTGAGTATCTTAATGACATGGCACCTTTACCACCTCCCAAACCAAAAATCAAGGTCATGTCATTGGTTGTAATGATCAAGTTCTTCTTACCAATTGTGAATGCATTTGCTTTTTCACTGTATCGTTGGATGATTGCAACTACATCATCATCTGATTTCTTACACTTCCTTGGATCCATCCTTCCCATTGTTAGAGCTTGGATCAAATACCAGAATGGGGACTTTTGAAGCTTTACAACTTGGTTTGAATTAAATTTAAGTGTTTGAAAAAAGGAGACAACAGATGCGAGGTTTGATCGATATTGAATGTTGTAATTAGCTTTATTCCTTTGGAGTTTAACAGGCTTTTTTTCCTCTCTTTGAGCTTGAGTCTTTTGAAGTTGGCATATTTATCTTGATGTTTGTTGTTTCTTCAACTTGGACTTCTATTTTTTGGCGAGGAGTTTGTGGTGTTTTGCTGCTTTTTGATCTAAGGTCATAACTGGCAGACTTAGAGAGTTTTTGTTTCTTTCTTGGTGTTTTTGGTGTTTTGCTACTTTTGCATTTCGCTATTTCTAGACAATGAAATCATAAAGATGTCAACATTAAATCTCAAAGAAAATTAAACATGTTAGAGAAAATTACACATAAGGGAGAAAACTAAGGTGGCCAGAGAGAATTATAAATGTAGGAGAAAATTAGATGTCATAATACTAATTGTTTTTCTGTGGAATACATCTAGCCACAGAAAATTTCCAAAAAAAGAAAATTATATGTCGGAGAAAATTAAGCCATGGCAAAGAAATTATCAATAATTTCTAAAATTACATATAGAAGTAAAATATAGCCAGAAAAAATTCAAAAAAGAAACAAAAATCTAACAAGCCATGGAAAATTAAAATGCCAGAGAAAATTAAACATGGTAGATAAAATTAAGTCATGACAAAGGAGGAACAACCAGCTTATGTTTTTAACATCTTGTTGTGTTTTGGGTAACATGGATATTTGTTGGAATGGACTGCACAATGGGCCCATAGGATTTATTAAGTGGTTTTTAACAAAATAAATCAAGCATGGCATAGAAAATTAAACATGCCATTGAAAATTAGACACAGACAAGAAAGAAAAGTAATGTGGCCAGAGAAAATTATAAATACTAGAGAAAATTAGACACACACAAAAGTACTCAGTGTTTTTCTGTGGAATATATCAAGCTAGAGAAAATAAACAAAGCAACATAAACATGCCACAAAAAATTACACAATAGAAAAATTTGGAAGAAAACAAGAATTGAACAAAATAAACATGCCAGAGAAATTTTAAAAAAAAGAAACATAAATCTTGCAAGCCACGGAATATTACAATGCCAGAGAAAATTGGAGAGAAAATCAAAGAGACAATTAGCTAGAGGAAATCAAACATAGACTAAACGAAGTCCAATTTGTTCAAAGAAATTTGATGGTTGTTTAAATGTGGTCAGATAAAATTCAGATTCGAGACAAAATCAAACAAACAAAGGAATCGAGTGTGTTTAGTGAAAATTGTAATGCTAGAGAAAATTCATCTAAAGGGGTTATCTTAATATTATTACGAAATTGAAACCCTAGTTAATGGAACGGTATTATAAAATGCAATGAACTGTAGATACAGAGAAAAACTAGTTCTGGAATAAAAACACTTACTAGAGTGAGGTGATGAGGATGAAACCCTAATTACAAACGAAGATGAAGATGAATAGACTCAAGGATGAATAGTAAAATGAGTTAGAGCAATTTGTGTAGAAGAGCAATAATACCGGCACATGTTAAATCTTCCAAGTGACTTTTAACTAACCTCCATTTTTCTGAGGCTCTTTAAATCTCTCTGGTAGGATACGAGTTCATTCTCCCTCACTTCCAAGATTAGGAATAAGGTAAGAAGTTAGATGAGATTTGGGAACCACCCTGTAAGTAGAATTAATGAAAAGCCATTAGATGCATCCCACTAATATACATCAAACATGTAAATACATAACAATATACCAAAAAAAAAATGCAACGAATCCATCAAATGAGAGCACAACACTTACATGCATATCCTTTCTATCCATGGGTCTAAACAAGTAAAGTAGAGGCCTTTTCAGGCTGGGCGTACTTAAAAAATGAGCATTCAGATTTGTACACAGGTTCTTCTTTACTTTTATTTTGCTTACACATACACAAACATATAATTATAAGGGAAATTTGGCCAAAACCCCTCCATTTGACCCTTATTTGGTGAAAATGATAACTTAATTTATTTAATATCAACTTTAAAACATATTTCATCCCAAAAGGCTCAATCATCTTTTAGCAAATAAAAACCTTAAAGAGGAAACACAGAGAGTGAGAGAAAATATATAAATCTTCTAAGCTACCTATTTGTAGAACAAACAATAAAACTATTTAAATAAAATACAGTTACAGATCAAAACCATTGAAGCTGACTACCTGAGAGAACTAAAACAAATAAAGAGCTATAGATTCGATACCTAAGAAAATCAAAAACATAGATCGAAATCAAAATCATCCAAAACAAGCTTGAGTCAGACCAATAAAAGAGAAGAGCACCTAGATCAACAATGGAAATCAAAATCCTAAGCACCGTTTCAGTCAATCGAATGAAATCAAACTGATAGAATGTAAATCAAAACAGATCTAGATTGCTACTGTGCAGCCATGAAAATCTCTGAATCTCGAGTGAACACAGCGAGTACAGATTGAAAAGCCCTTTCAAAAAAATCCACTGCTTTTTTTCAGCGCCGTGTAGAACGAAACCCTAGATAAATGAAAATCAAGGGAGATCGAACAATCTTGAAGAAAATTGGTCAAATCAAGGGAGATCAAACAATATCGAAGAGAGATCGAATAATCTCGAAAAAAAATTAGTCAAATCGAGTGCACAAAACAAGATTTCAAAATAAAAAAATAATGAAAAACGATTGAGATAAAAGATCTAAGGTTTTGATCTACAATAGGCTTACTTGAAATCTTCATCATCAGTTGCTTCGTCAATATCTACAAAGAGAGCTTCATTCGTGCCATTTTAGAGAGAGAATAATGTTGGAGAAGGAGAAAGAGAGGGGAGAAGGGAGAGGGTAATGAATCTGTGACTCTGATGTTTGGAAATAAAAGTTATATTCTTTTAGGTTTGAGTGGAAGAGGTTTGTTTCTTTTTCTTTTTTTTAACTCATTAATTAATTGGCAAGGTTAAGCATCAGCGAAGGCACGCATCTTGGAAAACGAGAAATGAAGACGTTTTTCAAAAAACGTCTTTTTCTAAGCGCCGTGAAAATGAATTTTTCTTGTAGTGTAGGATGTGGACTCCTCGTCCATAATTTAGATTGGAAGATTTTGTTCGGACTTGTGGGGTTCATTATGGGATCTTATTTTGATAATTCGAGCAATTCATTTTGTCGAATATTTTGTATACATCATGCAAAAAAAAAAAAAAAATTATCATAATCTATTCAATTTATCGAAAATGTTACCAAAAAAATGAAAGCAATTTTAAAAATAGACCATTCATTTTAATTTTTTTTTTTGTGACATTAAATTTTTAAAACGAGATCCGTGGTAGCCCTACGAACTTGGACAACGCTCTCCAAATATCGTTCTAAAATTATTTTCAACTAGAGAAGTACTTTGAGTGTTAATATGTATGTTATATATTTAGGCCATAATTTAGGGATATGTATTAGGAATTGATTACCTATAAATTTACCTTGCATATTTGTAGCATTTGTATCCTTTAAAATTTTTGGGAAGTCTATTTGAATCCTTTGTTTTATTTTGGAAATGTTTGGAGTTGTCCTCAAGGGTCGACACCGGTCTAGGAAGGGTCGACCCTTGTCTTTTGCTGAATCTGGAATTAGCTGTTGAAATTTAGGTTCGACACCAGGGGTTCCAAGGGTCGACCCTTGTCTGTTGCACACTTTTTTTGTCTCAGCTTTTCTTCTTGAAGGTCAACATCACTGTTTTAAGGGTCGACCTCTGTGAGTAATTACAGATTTTTCGATCAGTTTGGGCCCTACTTTTTAGGGATTTTGACTTGTTCTTTTCATTTGACTTTAGGGCTATTATTCTATTAGTGCCTAGACACTGTAAATAGGTTCCAAAACACTTTCCTCTCATTACTTTTCCTTCTCCTTTCCCCTCAAACGATAACTTCTCTCTTCTCTCTTTAAACTTAACTTTTTCATACTTAGATTTTCAAATCTACTCACCTGGAGTCATCTTTTCACCTTGGTCCTTTGGGAAAGGTTATAGATCTTGTCAAGGGCTTTCTATTGATTCGAGAAGTTCGTGGTTTCGTTGACATTGGGTTTTCTGGGTTTCCTCTTCTACACTTGACGTAGAGATTTCTTGCTCCTCTTCAATACTTCATCTATAGATAGTTATGTGGTAGATTTTTACTGCATAAAAGCCATGTATATTGGAGTTCTTTTTGAAAAATCATATGAGAGATATTTAGGGTTTGTTACTTGGGGATTAGAAATCATTATATAAATTGTTGTTTGGGTTCTTTGGGGAATAGTTTAGCATGTTGACGCTGAGGGGAGAAAAACATCTAATTTAATATTATAGACTTAATGGATTAAAGATGAGAGAAAGTTGTGTAATATTTTGTACTCGATAATATGGATTGCGTGATTGTGTTAATTGATAAAAGGGTGGATTAACCATGGTATTGGAATTATTCTTGATTAATCATGTTAAATTGAGTTGAGCTATGGCTTTAACATTCATGGATTTGGTTTTTCTAAAGCAAAGGTAATGGCTTTTGGCTTTGTAAAACAAGGAGAATGGATTTAGTTTTGTAAATTAAAGAGGATGGATTTTGGATAAAGATTTGAACATGTTAACTTGGAAAACAAAAGAGTTCATTTTCATAAGAGAAAGAGACCATGGCATATTGCAAATCTAGAATTGATACTTAGGGATGGATTTTAAAGCTTTTAAATATCGTTATTATCATTATTGTTAGGACTTAAGGTCAAGCAAACATCGGATTATTGTATTATGTGTGTTTAAATATTTATGCTTAGAGATTTATCATTGGTCATCGATGGATGATGATATTGTGATATTGAATAGATTATGTGTATGTAGTACACTCGGGTTATTTATATTTGTTGAATTATGTGATGGTTGGGAATGTGCTTGCGCTTCGAATAAAGGGTACCATTACC